ACGCTATCAAGCCAGCGCAAGACGGGCGGCAGCTTGGCCAGACGGGCCCGTTCCTGCTCGAGGTGAAGGCGTCGTTCGTCGGCTTCCTTGGCAGCACGCTCGGCTTCTCTCGCTGCTCGTCTGCGCTCTGCCTCCTTACGTTCTTGTTCCTTCTTCTCCGCTTCTTCACGCTCTAGCTGCTCCCGGCGCAAGCGTTCTTCCTCTTCCCGCTTCTTGCGTTCCTCTTCCTCTTTTTGCTTCCTCTCCTCCTCCTCTCTCCTCCTCCGCTCCGCCTCCTCCAGCTTCCGCTTTTGTTCCCGATGTACCCGTTGCTCTTCCTCGCGCTGTTTGCGTTCCTCTTCTTCAAGCCGACGTTGCTCCTCTTCTTCCTTCCGTTTCCGTTCCCGCTCTCGATCTTCCTCCTCCTTCCGTCGATGATCCTCTTCCTCGCGTTTCCGAGCTTGAACCGCAGCGAGCATCCCGTCTCTGCGCCGTTTTTCTTCCTCCTTCCGTTTCGTCTCACGCGATCGTGCCTCAAGCTCTGACTGCTTCCTCTGCTCCTCCTCTCGTTTGTCCTTTTGGAGCGAGTGCTTGGGCTCGGAGGTGTCCGTGACGGATGGGGCTGCGTCTGGCATCTCGACATCCGGGTCCTCAGACTTGACGTGAATGCTACCCTCGGAAGAGATGGACTTCCCGGATTCGCGGCGTCCATGGTGTAAGAGCGCCTCTGCTTTCTTCGCTTTTAGTGTGGGCCGACGATCTTCCTCATCCCGGGTCTTGGACGGAGGTCGAGGCCCCGCGGCTGAGCTGGACGTTGCGTCGCGAGGCATGGATGTTTTCAGAAGTCTATCATCGGACTGGCTAGACTTGGGCCGCTTTTCCTTCCCTTCAGCATCAAGCCGCCTCCATTAGATAGAAGCCTCGCTGCCATCCTTGTCAGAGTGCCCAGGGTGTGGCGGGGTGACACTGAACCTATGTCGCTTACCGATGGTGTCTGAGGCGGAGACGGATAATCGATCGCGAGATTCGTCTCTCTTCATAGCCATTGTCCTGTCGTGATACTTCTCGGTCATCTGCGCTTTGTCCGGCTCCTCCCGAGGACTGGACGGCTCCTTCATTGAAGAAGCAATGGAAGCTAGGCTGGGTCGCCGTTGCCTCTCCCGCTCTCCTTTAAGCTCTCGTCCCGAAACTAGCTTCCGTCTTGGCTTGGTTGTTTCACCCTCGGAAGATACAGCAGCCAGATCCGACTCCGCGCGCTTGACTTTGGCCACAGGTTTCCCGGCCGGTGACTGTTCTCGGTCCGGGATGGCGATCGTAGGAATACGGTCATCCTTCTTGGGCCGGCCCAGGGCCGCGTTTTGGTGACGTTTGGTCATCTTGGTGGGCGGTGAAAGAACTCGCTCGTCTTTTCTCTTTGGGGCTCGTTGAATGTTTCTCAGCCTCCATGGCGGGGCTGATGGCTTTCCTCTTGAAGGGTTTTGCGGATTCATCTCTCGACTCCAGCCTGCGCCTCGGCTCGCGGTCTACTTGTTCTCGCCTGCTGGGGGATCGATTTTTCGAAATCTCCTTGTGCGACTTTCTATGCTCGTCGTAGGCGTCCTTCAGCATGTGTTCTTCCTCCATCCAGTTCGGGCCCCGGCGCCTTCTCGCAATTTCGTGATAAGCCTCCCCTTTGATCCGACGGGTGGGGTCAAAATCGGTCTGGTCGAGAAGAAGCCGAACGACCTTGATGTTTTCCTGGCCAATCGCGGCCAGCATGGGGGTCGAGTGTTCGCTGTTCGGACTCGGGATAGGCGACGGGTCGGGGTTTGCCTTGCCCAAGGCGAGCAAGAGCTGCATGACGATGTCGTGGCCTCCTCTCGCGGCGGCAACCATGGATTCCGGATCGTCAAAGTTTTCCCTCACTTGCAAAATGCGCGTCACTGTCTCCTCGTCACCACGCGCAGCTGCCGAGCGAAGGGTCTTGTCGTCCATGGGCATATATAAAAGATGGTTGCTAGTCTTCGTCGCTCGGACGGTTCCGGCCCTCCTACCGGCGCCGGCGTGGATGGAGTTCGGTGCGCCGGGTGATCTCCTCGGACTGTCGGGGCCGTACGATGAGCGAGTATCCGCCATGTCCGTGTGATGCTCTTCCGAGGTTCGTCGCCGCTCGCCCATCTTTTGCTTGGCGTCGTTTAGGGCTCCTCTGATCTCATCGGCAAACTCAAGCTCGTCGTTCACCCGGTCGATGGGTTCTTGCCCGTACGCGTTGGCCTTGCGGGGGTTCACGCCGGCATCCAGAAGGATCTTGACCACGTCCAAGTGGCCGTTCTCCACGGCATCTAGCAGAGGGGTGTCCTTGTCATTGTTGACGCAGTCGAGATTGCAACCGGCTTCCACAAGCAACTTAACAATATCGTCGTAGCCATTAAGTGCAGCGATCTGTAGCGGTGTGTTGCCAGCATAGTCGGCGACGTTGATGTCGTCTGGACGGTCCTGTAGCCTAAGCTTTGCTGTGTCGTACTCACCCTTAGCGCAGGCTCTAGCAAGAAAGGTCTGGCCGTGGGCATCGAGATGCTTCTTGTGTGGCGCCATTTTAGCAGGGGAGACGGTGGAATCGGCGGTGGCGGGAGTCGCCAATCCGCGAAGTTTAGAGCTGCGCGGATGTGGGCTGCCGCTCGCCGATGAGTCGTCCGAGTGGTAGTCGGTCGACTGGAGCGGGGCCGGTACCCGCTTCTTCTTCTGGCTTAAACCATTCGAATGCGAGAGAAGTTGAGTCGAGGCGCTGCGGCGGTGAGCTCGAGGGTGCGGCGAGATGGACCTCGTCCGGATTTGGGGGGGGATTCTCAACGTGTGACTTTTGGGGAATGGTGGTGTAGGGACAGGGCGGTGTTTACGGGGAGGCGTCGAGACCAGAGCCCGAGGTGCGTTGGCGCCGAATCTTACGGCTCTCGGCCTCGTCTTCGGAGTCGGGCCTCGTCGCCTTGCGCTTGTGTGGTAACACTTTTTCGAGTGGTTTGCTTTTGTCTTTGGTCGAGGTTTTTGTCGAGTCCACAGGCGCTGTCTCAGAATCCGACCTTGAGTGGGCATTCGACAAACGGCGGCGTCGCTGGGGTTGGGGTGGAGATCCCGGCGCGGAGCTCAAGCCGCTAGAGCCGTCCTTGACCTTGGGCTTGTCCAAGTGTTTTTTCTTCTTACCGAGAATGGACGGTGTGGTGCCCTCGTTCGATCCGGCCCCGGTAACCAGCGTGGGCCTGTCCGGTTTTGGGGGGCGGTCGCCTTGGTCGCCCTTGTCACTGTCGCGCTCTTGCTTCATCAGAGAATGCTTGCGGTTCGCCAATGAAGGGAGGGCCTCGTCCGTGTCGCTCTTTTCGTGCTTGATGATCTTGCGTACTTTCGACGGCGAATGGCCATCTTTGCCCGGCAACACGATCGTCTCGGCATCCGAGTTCCCATCGGCGGCTCCATCATCATCGCTGGGGCGTGCACAAGATGCACTCGGCCTATCATCTCTATGAGGAAGCTCGGGTTTGGCGACGCTAGACAGCTTGGTTACGGCGGCGGGCTTTGGGTGATCGGAGTCGCTGCCTGGCCGCTTGGGAGAAGCGGCGGGCTTCGTTGGGGCGGGCTCGGCAGCATTCTGCGCATCCATGTCATTTATTTCGAAAAGCGACGACCGTTTTGCACCATCCTGGTCGCTGGGCCGTCGATACGTTGAATAAGGGGGGGTGCGCGGCGATGGATTTTGGGCGGGAGGAATGATGCGACAAAACAAGCCGAGGTCGAGGTGTGGTGATGGAGAGAAATGGAGACTCCGTTGGTGATGAGTGAGCCTGGCACAGACAACCTACCCAGACAACCCGCACAGCCTTCAAAGCGCGCTAGCAGCGACACGCAGAGAAAAGGACAGGGGGGCACAGTGGTGGGTGAAAGCGGGCGCGGCAGCGCACAAAGGCTGAAAAATAAGAGACCGAGTCACGAGGAGATTGATGGGGCGAGGGGACTGCAGAATGCAGGACACAGGGCGTGTCAAACAATATGCTGATGTGAATGATACAAGCCGCCGTTTAAGGAATGGCGATGGATTGCTGGTTGTCGATAGAAAAGTGATTTGTTGCTCGTGACTCGGGTCTCACCATGAATGGATGCTCGCTGGGCGGTTGCGCTCTTGGTCGAAGGCAAGAACGACAAGCCAGCGGAACTTGGTCGATTCCCAGATCAAAGTCTGATCGCCGCCCCCCCAATTGGCTGGCTAAGGATACGGTCGGCAACTTGACCCTTGTTCATTGCGTATCCTCAACGCGACAGTCGGGTTGGTTGCCTGCCCCAAGACGGCCGGAGCAAGCAATTTCATCGACCCAGCAGCTCCTGCCTAGGCCTACACAGGCCACCACAACCCCCTCCTGCATCGTGCGTGGGATGACGCGCGGGCAGCCTGCATCTTGGATCATATTCTTGACGCGTCGCAGAAACATGCAAGCAAGTTTCTTCCCACCGACTCCCTGATATTGACAGGGCTATACTATCAGACATTCACATATCTTTTGACTCTTTTTGTAAGGGGTGTTGTAGTTTTAGTTGACGCAAAAGCTGTTGCCGAAAATGAATGCATAGTTACGGCCTGTGATGCTTCGGCATGGTGTAGAGGCCTCAATCCGTACCGACACCAGGGAAAAAACTTGAGCACAATACCATCGTAGGTAAGGAGCTCGCTTTGGCCGAAAGAAGTTGAACTCTAAGGAAAGTAACTCGATACTAGTATAGTAAGTATCATGCTCAAGTTTTTTCTGTAGAGACCAACTAAGCCCTCAACACCCCGACATATCATCGCAAAGTGCAACTTTATATGCATTGTGATGGGACTCGACCTTAGGTATGCGATGGTATTGAAGTGGTTGCGCGAAGGATCGCAACCGTGGGGCAGGCAGGGCTGTCCAAAATACAGCCCCGGCTACAAGCACTGACCATGCAGGGTGGTATGACCCTAACCCTAGCTACGGATACAACATGGCAGTCACAGGCAAAGCCTGTGACATCTACATTCAGCCTCTGGTCTTTTTTGTTCAAGTAGTGGGGCAGCAGGGAAATTGGAGAGGGGCAAGGCTGGGTCCAGCTAGGCTATTGCAAACATGCCAGGCTCACAAGGCAAGAAGAATACAGGGATAGTTGGAACCCGCCCGGACGTCCAGGTTGCATTTGGTTGTATCTGCAACCGGCTGCTCCGCCCCTCCTCCACAGAACAGGGGACAGGATCATCAAGAACGGCAACGGCACACCCGAACAATCGAACTCCCTGGCCTGATGGATTCTCCTTCCTCGCCGTTCCATCTTCCGGCATCGCTCGAAGCCTGTAGGATAAATACGTTGCCACCAGCGGCGTACTACATCGCAGACTTCATTAGCGAGGAAGAGGAACAGGCCCTCCTCCACAAGGTAGCTCGGCACGCGTCGCATCCCAGGGACCCCAGCACCTATCTAACCGAAACATTGTGAAGGTTGAAACCGCACCCAAAGCAAGATGGAGACAGCTCACGCATCGTCGGCTGCAGACGTGGCCCTCAGATCTTGTCAAAGACACATTGCTCGATTCACGACCGCTGCCCGACTGGCTTGAAACCCCCATCGTCTCCCGCATCCTCTCGATTCCAATCGCAGACGGCGAGCCGAACTTGTTTGCAGACAGTCCGCACGGCCGACCGAACCATGTGCTCGTCAACGAATACCCCCCGAACACCGGCATCATGCCACACAAGGACGGTAGCGCCTATTATCCCGTGGTGTGCACTGTGAGTCTCGGCTCAAGTCTCTGTCTCAACCTGTACAAAAGTAAGGAGGATGGTGCTTTGGACCTGGAGCCGGTTTGGAGAATATTGCAAGAGCCGCGCAGCCTGTTGATTACGACGGCGGACCTCTACTCTGAATACCTCCACGGGATTGAGTCGATCTCAGCCGATGTGGACGTTTCGGAGCAGACCATCGCGAACTGGAGCCTCCTGCGTTCGCCACTCTTCCAAGACGGGCTCAACCAGCGGCAGACGCGCATCAGTCTCACATACCGCGATGTGGTCAAAGTCTCGAAGCTAGGAAGCAAGCTCGGCTCCATATTTGGGCGCTCTTGAGGCGCAACTCGTTCAAAAGACTAAGGGAATCATGTTCCATCTGTTCGCAACTGGGCCAATGCCGAATTTCTCAGCGTACCACTTGCGGGTTCCCGATGCCGTGACTCCCAGGTTGACCGCAACGAAAATGAGGGCGCACATCAGCGTCCGGTTACACCACACCCCACGGGGCGCCGTGGCGATGGCCATGGAGAGGTAGAGGAGACACTCGCAGGTGTAGTGCGGGCAGATGTAATGGTCAAACATGCCGCCTTCCGGTAATGAATACTTCTTCAGCCCAGCGAGGTGCTTGTGGCACCTATACTGGTTGACCCAGGCAAACAGGAATGTCGGGACGGCGACGCCCATCTTCATAAGAGACTGCGCATCATCTGTGTGACTCGTCAGGTTCAAGATAGCACCTGTACGACAGTCAGCAACCTGGCCTCACAATCTCTCGGAGTGAGAATGCCATACCCGATCCTTCCACCCAAACTGACACGCTGATGGAGAGGTAGAAGAGGAGGCCAAGCAACCAGTGTACAACCCACATGGTAGACTTTGATGGTTTGATGATGGTTAAATGCTCGAATACCCGCCTGGCCCCCTGGAGAAACATCATCAGCCAACCCAGCACCACCTGTCCCGATGTGGCGGACGGCTGCTGGGCAGCGGCCTGTCTAGACGCGATGAACCGTAACACAGCTCCGTCGCCAAGGTACTGAGCAAGCCAAAAGACAGAGCATGCCAAAGACACGACATAAAAGGCGCCGAACCATGAATGCGGCACCTGCGTCCACGACGTGATCATGTCAATGAGCGAAAGCAGCCGACCGCGGTCCGAAACATTCTTCGCCGGCGCATCTGCCGGTGAGGTCTGAGCTTTCCGGGCGCCGTAATTAACGAGAAGCGTCCTCGCGTCGCGCGGCATGACTGCTACTGCCAGCACGCCTCCGGCTGCGAGGAGGAAGATGGCCTGGCAGCATTGCGCGGGCGTGGTGCTGGATAGAAATACGAGGGACTGTTGCCAGAGATCGTCTGGCCCCATGGCGTATCGGCCGAGACGGACAAAGGATTCTCGCTACGTTTAGTTTTAGTTGATGTGGGTTAGAGTTAGAAGTTGCTGGTGTGTGATGATCAAAACACCGGGATTCTGACGAGATTGGACATCGACGCTGCCCGTCCCACTTGCCTCGGCCTCACCTTCTTCCGCACCGCGCGCAGCTTAGCGGCCTTGACTTCGCGTCGACTCAGCAATGGATGCAGAACGAGGGCGAATCTGTTGTCAGTGTTATGAGGTGATCAATAGCTCTATATATCAACTCAAATGCCGCCGACATTCCATCTCATGCTACAAGTACTGCGTATCACCCTTCGACATGGTCTGGTCCCACATCATCTGAAACATTGGCATCGTAGAAAGCAATAATATATCGTCAATCTGATCTATCGTGCTGTCCTCTGGCAATGGTGTTGCGACGAGATGAACCAACTTGTCTAAACTACCTCGTCTTGAACCAATGTGAGAGGGACCCTTTTTGAGATTTCGCCTCTTGCTCAGCCTCAGCCGCTAGCATCTCCCCTTCTCCTATCTTTTATTTTTTGGGTCCATCGATGCTCTTGTAAATATTTGATGGTCAATCCCCCGGGGGCGAGTCACGACATTTCAGTCGAGAGAACAGTAACAGCAATGCGTTCCAAGTGCGGTGACGACAACTTGTGTGAAGGCTGTTCATATGAATTTTAGTTTCTCCGCTCATCGTTTCATAACGGGGATACCACAGAAGCGGAGGATTTCGGTGAGGGCGGCCATTGACGGGGTTTTGAAGCAATATCCGGCCATGGACACTATATCAGCGGCCGTGGGTAGACCAGAAACATCGTGGGCTTTATTAAACAGAGCCAAACAGAGGGGAATTCGTTATCAAAACAGGCGAGGGAGGGGGAAGTGCTCGTCATATGATGGAAAGAGGAAGGTGGAGGAAGGGTGGAAAGAAGCTAGATGTCGCTCTGAGTCCAAGGAGTTTCTCACGCTGGGTGAATTTGAAGGTTGTGGTCGCCCAATCGGTAGGAATCCCTCGCCGTTTGTTCCCGTCACCTGAACATGGATAAGAGCGATAATTTCACACAAAGAGCCACAGGCACGACGATCGAGGTCAATAGCGGGCCTCAAAGCAGAGCGCTTCGAGATGCATCTCTTGGGCTAGGGAATCGTTGGTATACTACAGGGCGGGTTTATTGGCTTTTGTACATCTACTTCAGGTGAGCCTGGAGACTCTCGAGGACCTATGATTTGTTAGCAACCGGATCGACAGCATTTCTGCAACATAAACCCACCTCCAGCTCAATCTTCGCCTCAGCAATATCTTGCTCACTGCCGCTGCCATTCGCAACCTTTTGCGCCTCGGAAATCTGGGCACGGACAGCGTCGGCGCTGAAGTCCTCCAGCGGGAACCCCTCGACGGCGTTGATGCTCAGGGCCGAGTTGGGCTGGACGACGGCGAAACCACCGGAAACTGCAATGTCATGTGTAAGCCACAAGCCTTCCTCCTCCTCCATATCGGGGCTCCGTGTCGGGACGTACGGAAGAAACGCTTGCTGCCGCTCTCCTCGATGACCTCAACGATACCGGCCTTCAGCTGCTCAATCGACGGGACGTGGTTGGCGAGGACACCCATCTCACCGGACTCGGCGGGGATGTTGACCTGGACGGCATCCTGGGACTTGTAGATGGACTAGATGAATGCGGGAATAAACAATCAGCTGGAGGGAACGTCGCATTGGTTGGTCACAGTCGGTCTCGTGTCTCATCGCGTAGGCCGCGGCCACATCATCGTCTGGGAATTGAGGTGTTCGGGGCACCATACCTGGTGGGGTAGCGACAAGCTGAGCTTGATCTATCAAAAAATGTTAGAGGGAGCTATTCACATAGCAGCAGGGTCTAACAACGCGGGGGGCGCACCTTGTCCGAGACGGCCTCAGCATAACCTCTGCGCTGCAGGGGAGCGCGAATGGCGGCGGGGCGCGCCCGGAGAGCCGCACGAGCAATGCGGAGGGAGTTCATGGTGGTTGCGGTCTCAATTGCAATGCAGAGCGTCGGCGAGGCCACTGTCGTTCGTCGTCAGAGCAGATTTGGCCGCGGACCCAAATTCGCTTAGCCGGGATTGTCCGGAGAGCTCAGGCGGAAGAATGTTTGTGCGCTATGGATGCTTTGCCAAGAATGAGAAATGCACATGGCGGGGTCTACTCCCCGTTTTCCGCAACCAAGACGGGTTAATGCTGAATTACTGATAGACGCATACAATATGCCGAAAACCAGAGAAATCGTCCTTGCGAGTCGGCTGCGGTCAGGTCTCGCATTTCGCAGGTCTCACAGGTCTCACAAGTCTCACATGTCGGTTCCTCCGTTGCCGTGCATTGCATCGGTGCGCTTGCGCTTGCGCACACTACCAAGCCACTTCTGCATTTTTGGAGCTCACCGCAGCAGCTGGAGGCCGCCTCCAGCCGCTGTGCTGCGTGATTCAGCGCCTGGTGATTCACCAGACACGCCACAGACCAGTGGCCGTCCTTAATCCCTCATGGATGGGCTGAATGCCTTTGGATTCGTGGGGAGATGCAGACCGAATTTCGAAGTTTCCCGGTTTCTTTGCCTTTGCTGTCTGCTGTGTTCGCCTGAACCCATGGCCGAATCAGGCCACGATCGGCCTTGGTGCTGCGGTCTCCCTTTACCATTGGTCGTTGTTCCCATGACTGTCGATGACTCTCCAGAGGCTTGAGATTCGCAGGTTTCTAGAAATCATCTTCCACTCACCAGGTCACGAAGTTTCAGGACTTTGAGTCGGAAACGCAGCACACCACTTGGCGCCGATCAACGGTGAAACGGCCCAAGGTGGCCGGCTTCGGCAACGGGCCTCCGGGGTCCTCTGTCGAAGCCCTTTCAGACGACGGAAGCCAAAACCATGGGCGGTGAGCGGGGATAACTTGTCGCTTTCACGTGTCCCCTTGTGGATGTGGCCAAGCCGCAACCGTTTCTTTGTGTCTCGTAATCGGTAACAGCCGACGTCGACGAAGGCTATCTGATTTTCACCGATTTGTACCAAGCATAAGAGAATCGCCAAGTGTGGAAATCGCCTTATGTTGGTGGAGCCTCCGTCATGCTCCCTGGGCTTCTTGGTTTACACAGTATCTATGGCTGGGTAAACACTCACTGGAGTGCAAGCTGATCTAAGGAGTATTTCCTCACTCGGATTCTCTTCTGGAATCATGGGTTCCGGGTCGGCTCTCACATGGCGACTCAGATCCCAAGCCTAATGAGCCGAACTTGCGGCCACGGTGGGCTCCAGCACGTCCAGCAACCACTAGCTGAGCTGTTAGAAGTTCAGGTATCGAAGCATACGAAGCGGACGAAGCGACTTGCGCTTCGGCTTGCCATATGGAGGGTAGCTTCGCTGCAAAACAAACGCATGGCGAGCATCCCACGCCACGAGACCGCGTTGAATGCGGGGTCGTCTGGCTTTGTTTCATTCCCTTGCCTGCCCACCACGGCGATCGCGGGGCCTGACCAGTCGGACCCTGGCGCGAGATTGTGTCCGAAAGAGGTTCGTTGGATGCGACATGAGCCGGTCCTTCGTTCGGGGGCCCAACATGTTCGAATGATCAACCACCCAACCCAGCGCTGCGCAAATGGGCGAGGAGGTGAGGCACCTTTTGCGACGCGCGACTTGGCGAGCGACACGGATTGCCAATCGTTGACACATGCAACGAGAGTTTTGAGAACATGGCCATTCCGGTCAAAGATCGTTAGCAATAGTATTGCCCTGGGCTCCAGCCCCCCGAATGCCCAGTTACTTGGCTCCTTGGGTTGCTTCTGATGCGGGACGGCGGGTATCATCGCCGGGCAACAACACCCGCCTCCCACAGACGGGGCGAGCAATCAGCATACCCGAATGCACGGGCAACAGGATGTTGTTGGGTCATCATCAAACTGGTGGAGATTCGGAGCATTCTTCCTCCTGCACGACGTGGGATTGCAGGCGAATGGATCTGCCCGCTTTTCGGAGGCCACTGGAACATTTGTGGGACAGCAGCGACCAGGACGCGATTTCATTCGGAGCAGGAAACCGAAAGCGTCCCTAACCCTGAGGTACTTGCACGGTAACGTCAGGGTGAGCCCTCGCATACGGGACCCTTGTATTTTACATAGGCAATACGTTCGTACAGGTTGCTTCCGACCCGAATTCCTGGTCTTGGCGAGCGTTCCACGACATATTCGAGAGTCAGACCCATCAGCCAACTGCAAGCCTCCTGCAGGTCAGCCCGTCGCTAATGCCTGTTTTGTCTCTGACTGGCTTGCAGATTGCAGGGACCATTTGGACAGTGGAGCTTGCATCCTGCACAATTTCGACGTCTGCAATTCGACGCCCCAACATTGTCCACGGTAGCTTGATGGTCGTTCCCCTTCAACAACAACGGGCAACCGCGAGGAGATGGACTCGTGAGTTAGCCGGGTGGATTCCCATCAAACGAACGAATTGTTGGATATCCACACTTTGATTCTGAATATCCTGGATTTCGGTTGTTCCTCCGAAAGAACGGTTGGTTGGTCTGTGCAGCTCAGATCAGTTCCCAAGTTGGTGAAAATGGAAACGTTACCCTAGGAGGCGTCAGGGATCGGAGGGTGGAAACGGCAAAAGAAAAACGCGAATGAACACATTCACAGAATGGTCGATGCGCCAGAAAGATGGAATTCCCGTTATTTGCCGACATTTTGTCAAGGGTCCACAAGCTGCGGTCTCGGGACAAACCCGCGCCTCTTGACATCCTCATTGGTGTCACAGCCACTGCTGGGCACCTGCAAACATCTGATGATCTCAAATACCAAGTACCTTGGCTCAGGGCTTACCCAAGAGCCGAGTCTTCTGCCGGCGCTGTTGACGGTGAATGAAGGCCGATGACGGGAGGCGTAGATATGCACAAAACGTGAACAAAGAGACAAGAAATCCCAAATCCTGTTACGATAGGTTCTCCTGTCTCCCGGGTTTTGATTTACGATTGAGACAGCGGCCATTTGCTCTTTTCTTTTCAAGAGATTGGAACAAAGTCCTGCGTAAAACTTGACCAATTTGCTGATGGAGATTCGGCGGGCGACGCGACGGTGACCTCAGCGCTAACAAATTCCCTGCCAAGAAGGGACGTTTTCTCAGTGGCCCACCCACACAAGTCCCGCTCATTACAACCTCAATTGCCAATTCTGACCGCCACCCCACGACTGCCCACTCGCCAGCCCACTCGCCATCTCATCGCCAAGTGTTGCGCTTCGGCTCCCCTGGGGCCCTCTTTTGTGGCCAAGGTTGCGCCCTGCATCCCCTCTCCCTGTCACGGCCTGTCCTTTCATCGGGTCCTTGGGGGTGGCACAAACGCACTCTCAAAGAGCCAAGCTTAACCCTGAGGGACTCCGCTGATCTAAAAACCTGATATTTTGCCGCATTTATTCCTACCACAAGACTGCCCGCGCTGCAACCTTTTGTGTGTCTGTGTTCCTCTCACCTAACCCAACGTGACGACCCCTCCAAAACGAAAAAACATCCGACATTGTCTCAATTCGACGTCATTCCACCTATCACTGAGGCCAACCTTACCCCGACCGAACACCACAGCCTAACTGGGTCGACGGCCCACGGCCCTCTCTTGTTACAAACCATCAAACGACCCGGCCCTATCACTCCCGCTCAGACAATCCGTGATGGCTTTGCGCTTATAGCAATACGGTCCTTAGGGACACCATCTTGCACACTGATTGCAAGCCTGTCGTCAGAAGACTGCAATCAACTCAAAACTTTCGAGCCTCGTCCTCCACGGGCGGACACCAAACCAACTTTCATCAACGAAACATCACGCCCACATTTCGAGCCTACCCGTTTTGAAGCTGGCGAGACACACCCGCTCACCTTCCAACACTTCATCGATCAGCGACTAGGCGGCCGTACGGCTTTCTACCAAGATGGAGCACTACACACCTCGAGACCACCCCACATCAAACGTGCTGGCGTGGACCACCACAAACTCCGCCAACGTAGAACCGTCGGTAGAGGAAGAGACCGGGGCAGAAACCGATGAACCACCGGAACGGGTGGCGCCCATATCGCTTACCTCTCCTTTTTTCCAACGAACACCAATCCGGCGCAGCAGCGAGCAACACGAGTCGCTCTTGACTAAGGCCTTGCAGAGCCAGTCAGATGATGACGACTCGGAAGTCCATCCCCCCTCTCATAGGCGGCGGTCCGTCACAAGCAATACCAGCTTTGCCTCCACCGCCGATTTCACCTGTGCCACGGGTATCACCACCCCAGCCCGCACAAGCTCACCGAGCCCTCGTCTCCCCAATGTTGGCTTCGCCCCCATAACCGTCGTGGCGGCAAGGGACGCGTTGCAAAACAAGGGATCTGATGTGTCTGCGCTGGCGAAAAAGCGGTGCATCTCGTTTGCTTGCGCGGCCAAGCCGAAACTCGATGAGAAGATGGCGATGCTCCCCCCACCTAGGCCCGTCCGAGCCGAGGCGAACGCGGAAGGGGCGGCGAAGAAGAGATCCATCAAGTTTGCTTGCCCGCCGCAGCCGCAAAAGGCCAGGGATGCGCAGCAGCTCGACATGCGGCCGCGGACCCCCGTACCGCGAGGGATCCCCAACACACCCAAGGACTCGCCAACTCTCGACAAAAAACGTTCTTCATCCACGGTCCGCGCTGTTCGCTCTCCGACTTCCCGCAGGACACCGGGTAGCCCCGTCGCCTTTCGGAAGAAGGGGTGGATCTCGGCGGGTGCCGGGGAAATGGAAAGCGACTGCGTACGATTTCACGAGTTTGCCAGCGGCGAGCCGCAGGAGGATGATTGGATGCGGCGCGACCCCACTTCCCTGAAGCCTAAACTTACCATTGACGACACGCTCGTGAAGGAGAATGCCATTCGGAAGTTGGGGAAGGAAGCAGAAGAGGAGGCGGAGTTGGAAGAAGATGAGATTGACGACGAGGAGGATGAGGAAGTCGATGATGCAGACCTCATCGATGATGAGGATGAGGATGACGAGGATGGATCTCGGGATGAGGACGATGATGAGGATGACGACCAAGACGAGGATGATGAGGATGACGAGGACGAGGAAGGTCAAGACGATGCTGATACCGAACTCGCCTGGGCATCCGAGGCTTCTGACGGGTACAAGACAGACAATGAGACTGGGTTCGCCGAGTCCGATGATGAGGATGACGACCTAGTGCTGTGGACCACCCGCATTGGCCACTACGCGTCGCTATCTGGTGCTCTTTCGGCAACCCGCCGGCTATCGCAGGGCGAGAAATCTGATTCGTCCACGTCGTCCGGCCAAAAGTCGAGCCAGTCCCGCAGAAAGAAGCGCTCGAAGACACGGCCCGTTGCTTTCCGGTCGGTGACTCCGGAACTGCCTGACAGCACTGATTTCGTCTGCGGCACCTTGGATGAGGACAGACCATTGGAGGAAGCGTACATTTCGTGTGTCGAGGCACGCCGGCGAGGCCGGCAACAGGTGATCCCTCAGGACATCGATCCCAGCTTTCCGACCTCGGAGCCCGAGGACGAGGGCGACGAGTTGCACAGGAAGGGATACGGCGAGAGCGAGGACCATCTTTGGTTGCATGGCGAGCTGGAGGATCTTGACCACGAACGCGACCGCAGGGGTCGCAAGAAGAAAGGGAGTGTGCCGTCTCCCAAGAGATTCCGTTCGCCCCCGCCGAAGCGGCGGCCGTCGCCGGCGCCCAAGGCTCGCGGTCGATCTCCTCGGAAGCTTTCTGACCAGCGGCCTCCCCGGCTACGATCCCCTCCTCCGCTCGCGGCATCCAAGACACCCGTCATCTCCCCGCTACACGAGAACGAAGCTGTTGCTTTCAAGTCCTTGGCATTCCAGCCTGGCGTGACGCACACCAAGTCGCTCCCCAGGCGGGCATCGGGCTTGTTCCCTCATCTCAAGGCCCGCAAGTCGAAGAGCGGTACGGCTCCGAAAGATACGCATGTCCGCGGCGCGATCGACATCGTTAAAGGCCTTGAGCAGAAGCGGTTGCGGCGGAAGGAGAAGTTTTGCCAAAAGTATTACAACCGGGCACGGAAGGAAAAGGCGCAGACCAAGCGGCCGCCTCCTGGACAGGGCGCGTCGCGCATGAGGGAACTGGGCCTGATCATGGCGGGTAAAATTGGGCAAGGTAATTATGTACTTTCCATCTGAGACGGCGGGGCGGCTACTCTGATCGGCATTCATATTGCGGGCATACCCAGGACATGCATCTGACGGTTGGGCGGCATTCATGACTTTACGAGGCTGGACGGACTGCATTTATTTCGCTGTTTTCTTTCAAGATGACCATGGTGGCATACTCTATTTTTGCATATACTTTTTTGTTGTTTTTATATTATTCGGCTGTAATCATTCTTGATTAGAGGCGAGACTGCGCTGCAATTGAGATGGTGCAATCAAGTCCATTTGCACAATTCCAAATACATATTTTGTTGCACCTAACTCTGCACAATGTCGTGAACTTCACTTGGGGGCAGGAGTACGAAGTAAACCTTCAGGGGTTTGTTCTGAGCGATGAAGTGGCGACCCAGGGGAGAAAAAAAGAACATGGCCACAGAGGGAAGGCTCGGATCAATTCCGGTTGGTGTGAGGCCTGATATTTCAGGTGCTTCTCAACAACCAGCTCGGGCGAGGTTCCGATCCGTTGGTGCATTCGGTCCGGGTGGCCAATGCGCCTTGCTGGCCAATTCCTGCTTCCTGCCAGCTCCCGGTGATTCGAGCATCTTGACGAACACATTTCCACAACCTTGGACTCCATCCTCCACCACAACGCTCGATATCAAGACTGTATTTGCAGTCACTACAATTCCATTTGGAGAAACCACCCCCGCATACATTCCTTCACCGTCGACAACCAAAACTGGGACAGCGATAGGAGATCGACTGCTAACGCCGACGACCGAACACCGCCATGTGGATCATCAACTGGTGTAAGTATTCACCATCATTATGTCAACTATTGGTTCGCGTCTGGCCCCATGATATCCGGAGGGCGATGGTTTCATCGTGGACGACGCACTGGGCCAATTCCCGGCCGGGAAAAAATACACGATGAGGTGAACTTTGGTTGCTGACCCCGACACTTGGCTAGTTTACGACGTCCTGTCGTCGCTGGGCCTGCTGAACAAACACGCCAAGCTGCTGTTCCTGGGCCTCGACAATGCCGGAAAGACGACACTGCTCCACATGCTGAAGAACGACCGCGTCGCGATCCTGCAGCCGACCCTGCATCCGAGTGCGTCCCCCCTCCCCCCCCCTAGATACACACGCGACACGGTACGGACGGGAAGGATATGAGATGGGCTAACACTAGCGTGGCATAGCCTCGGAGGAACTGTCGATTGGCAACGTGAGGTTCACGACCTTTGATTTGGGCGGTCATCAGCAAGGTGTGTTACAGTTACCCCCTATCCCCCCCTGGTTGTTAGGATTCCCCGTCTAACCGCGGCTTTCCGCACAGCCCGTCGTCTCTGGAAGGACTACTTCCCCGAGGTCAACGGCGTCGTCTTCCTGGTCGACGCCAAGGACCACGAGCGCTTCCCCGAGGCCAAGGCGGAGCTGGACGCGCTCCTGTCGATGGAGGAACTGTCCAAGGTGCCCTTCGTGGTCCTGGGCAACAAGATTGACCACCCGGACGCCGTCTCGGAGGACGAGCTCCGCCACCAGCTGGGCATGTACCAGACGACGGGCAAGGGCAAGGTGCCGCTCGAGGGCATCCGGCCCATCGAGGTGTTCATGTGCTCGGTGGTTATGAGGCAGGGGTATGGAGACGGCATCCGTTGGCTGTCTCAGTACGTGTAGAAAGCCGCTTGGGAACGGGGGGCGTTAATGGGGGTGCTGACGGGGAAGAGAGCGGCCGGTGGCGGGAGTGGAGCGGAGCGGGGGTCGGCAGAACGAGGGCAAGTCTGTTAGGGACCAAGAATAGAATCCGAGACTTTGCGCGCAGCACTTTGGTGTTGGCAGGCAGGGCTGGCGTGGATTGGGTCGTGCGTATCTTTTGCGCAGCACAGGGGCGCGGTTCAGAGGGGTATTCTTACTACTACTACATCTAGTCTGCTCTACGACACGATATGACTCGGCAATTATACCTTGTGTTTGTCCTTTAATCTGTGCCGTGCCGAGGAAGAAGGGTTGTCGGAATTTCACATGATACCTTATAAGAGATACTAATATTTCCTAGCTTCGGCAATTAGGCGTGGGTTCAGCAAGGTACCTAGGCAATTTCGAAGTAAATGCATTATTCGTTGTATCCGTAAGCATGTCAGGTAGGAACCTGGAAGGTACTGAGTTCTCGGTCTCTGACAAGCGACCGCTCACTTGCCCGAGCCGCAGTGGAAACTTCTGGCTTGAATGGATGTTCCTGCCGCGGCACATCTCGTTGTGCCAATGCAGCATTGATGGGCAGGGTTCTGCAGCTTTGCGGGGCCCACTCAGTACCTCCTTTCCCTCCAAAAACCCTGGGAGAACGCTGAAGACTGGCAACCAAGCGACGTCATTCCGCTTGCCCCAAACCCGCGACACTTCAGCTCCGGAGCCTTGCTCAGAGTTCGGTGGAATCGCCGTGAACATGTCACACATTTCAGATGGCCATAGCCCATATACAAAATAATTACCCCAGCCAAGACCAACCCGTGGAGTTATCATATTCACCCCTTGCCAGTCAAATTACTTACTTTTCTGCCACGATTGCTATTCCGGGACTGCAATTCAAAAACAGAAACATTCAACGACACCTGCCATTCTCGAGCTGAATCGGGAATTGTTCTATTTTATTATGTGTTAAGAGCGAGAGTCGGACGGCTTTAAGAGAGAGAAAGAAAACACTCAGTATGGCGGGACCGGGATATGACCGGGTCGATTCCAAAGACGACGAACCCCCCAACATCCAAATACCGTCCCGCACCTACGGCTTCCCACCAGAAGCCTTCGACTGGAGCCGCCTCCCAGATTTTGATACCAACTTTCTCCCCCCGGAACATGTCGAAGCTTTTATCCAGGCCCTTTCGGCGCCAGACCCGATCCCCCCAACCCCCGACGGCGGCGCCACCGGTTCCTCCTCGTACCGTCTAAACAGCCCGGCATGGCATCGGGGCTCAACGACCAGCTTCGATCTCGACTTGGCCAGACGTCCCGAATCCTCGGGCGTGGGCTTCCACGATGAGGACCGCACCGCGAGGGACAGCCCAGCCGGCGCCGCCACAGCAGCAGCAGCCGGCGTGGCCACCCCCGGACCACCACTAAGCCGTCGAGCCAGCTCCAACAGCCTCTTCATCTCCGCACGGAACGACTGGGCGCCCATCTCCCAAAGGCGGGTAGCCCGCGCCAAGACCGCGCCGCAGTCGTCATCACGAAACGACAAGAAAAAGAAGCGCGCCCGCTCCAAGGACGAGACCCGCGAGGGGTATCTGTACCCGCTGCTCAAGTGGCCGCTGCTCGGCGTCGTCACCTGCTGGCTCGTGGGCCTCTCGGTCGTGCACGTCCTCGCCCGCCTGTACATCACCGTCTACGAGCGGTACTGGGCCTGGCGCGGCGAGCGGGGGCGTCTGCGCCGTGCCATGCGCGCCACGGCACGCTACAGCGACTGGGTCGCTGCCGCCCGCCGCATGGACGACTTCTTGGGGAATGATAGCTGGAAGGTGGATGACGCGTTCGCCTACTACGATAACAAGACGGTGAGGCGCGTGTTGGCGGAGATGAGGCGATCTCGGCGCCGCGCGGAGGAGGCGGGCGGGAGGGACACGGAGCAGGGCAGGGAGGCGATTGAGGATCTGAAGGTACTGATCGAAGCGTGCGTCAAGAATAACTTTGCGGGCATAGAGAATCCGAGACTGTATAGCCAGACATATTATGGGACGAAGAATCTGGTGCAGAATTTTATTGATGAAGGTGAGTGTTGGTTGGCTAGCTGGTTATTTTCCTTAGGGTCGTCCCCTTTTAGATGGCTATTCAGGGGCTCGGGCTGATTGCTAACACGGGACGCGGACACAGTCGAACGAAGCCTCAAGTTCCTCGTCGAAACCGAGAGACTCTCAAAGGAGGAGAAACGCGTCATGTTCAAGGGCATCTGTGCCAACTACGGCCGCACGGCACTATGCTTATCCGGGGGCGCAACCTTTGCCTACTACCACTTCGGCGTCGTGAAGGCGCTACTCGAAGAGGATTATCTCCCCGACATCATCACAGGCACGAGCGGCGGGGCGTTGGTAGCGGCTCTCGTAGCCACGCGCACCAACGAAGAGCTCAAGGAGCTGCTCATCCCCGCGCTCGCCTGCCGCATCACGGCGTGCCGCGAGCCCATCAGCGTCTGGTTCCGGCGCTGGTGGGCGACGGGGGCGCGCTTCGACTCGGTCGACTGGGCGCGCCAGTGCGCCTGGTGGACGCGCGGGTCGCTCACCTTCCGCGAGGCCTACGAGCGCACGGGGCGCATCCTCAACGTCTCGTGCGTGCCCGCCGACCAGCACTCCCCCACCATCCTCTGCAACTACCTCACCAGCCCGGACTGCGTCATCTGGTCCGCCGTGCTGGCCTCCGCCGCCGTGCCGGGCATCCTCAACCCGGTCGTCCTCCTCATGAAAACCCGCTCCGGCCAACTCCTCCCCTACTCCTTCGGGCACAAATGGAAGGACGGCTCCCTGCGCACCGACATCCCCATCAAGGCCCTCAACCTCCAGTTCAACGTCAACTTCACCATCGTCAGCCAGGTCAACCCGCACATCAACCTCTTCTTCTTCTCCTCGCGCGGGTCCGTCGGCCAGCCCGTCACCCACCGCCGCGGCCGCGGCTGGCGCGGCGGCTACCTCGGCACCGTCCTCGTCCAGTTCACCAAGCTCGACCTCACCAAGTGGCTACGCGTGCTGCGCAGCCTGGAACTGCTGCCGCGGCCCCTCGGCCAGGACTGGAGCCTGCTGTGGCTGCAGGACTTTGGCGGCACGGTCACCGTTTGGCCCCGCTGTCTGCTGTCGGACTTTGCGCGCATCCTGAGTGACCCCGACCCGGCGCGCTTGGCGCGCATGATCCATGAGGGCCAACAGAGCGCGTTTCCGAAGTTGAGGTTTGTGGCGAATCGGCTGAGGGTGGAGAGGTTGGTGGAGAGGGGGCGGCGCGAGAATAGGCGTGGGGGTGGGCTTGGTGATGGGGGGGTTGGTAGCAGTGGTGGTGCTGGTGGTGGTGCTGGTGGTGGTCAGGCTGAGGCTGTTGCGGGCCAGGCGGCGGGGCCGGGGACGGGGCAACGGAGACCGAGCTTTGAGAGTATACTCAGTGAGGACGATTTGAGGAGTTTGTTGAAGAAGCGTAGGGTGGAGAGGGGTGGGATTGGCAGCGGCGAGACGGAGTCGGAGGACGAGACGTCGGATTTGGATGCCGATTTCTACGAGGGCATCACCTATGATGGTGGGGATGATGATGCCGGGCTGGAGTTTGGGGCGGCGGGGATGAGACAGCCTGGTGTTGCCACGCCGGCGGGGTTGGGCGGTGTTGAAAGGGGAGATTTGAGTTGAGCGTCTTTTTTTTTTTGTTATTGTTTTGGAGGTGGGGGTGAGGTGATCAGGTAGAAGGTACCGGAGCGTCGTTATGGTGTGTGTGGTTGGCAGGCTAGGCAGTACTACATACATACACAGGCAGACGATTGATTGCATAGAATAAGGGGTGGGTGATGATATACCTTGGTCGAACTCGGCTACAGTCCTCACAATACACTCATAACCCAAACATGTTACCCTTTGACTGCATCGAGAACACGACGGACAGGCTGTTTCCTCACTATCAACCTGTCCTTTTATAGCCCTGTTATGCTTGACATACCACTTCTCTGTTCAGTCTTTCGGTTCATAACGCGATATGAAAGGTTTTGGTCGAGAGAATGCGAGCCGGATCTCATGAGGCTCCTGGAATGCATCACAGATCTGTCACAAGGCTGTACCAGATTTTGAATGAGTGGCTCAGTGCCCAGACTACGAGCGGTGCGTGTGGCACATGCCATGTTGTCAAGTCACTTACATCGATCGGTATGCAAGTAGATATGTAACTACGTACCTATCTTAGTAGGTGACAGTTGGCGGAGCATGGCTGTCGCCCGACATCAAACCCACAATGAGCAAGTAGGTCGTGTAACCACACTGGGCTGTATGTATGTACTACTTCGTACTTAGACCCCTATTTTTCTATTTTTGGGTTTATTGTTTTGTGACAAGTAACATGGCACCGCCATAATGGCTCTGAAGCCCACACCGTGATGTTTCCCCTGGATTTGTACCCGCCTCCGAACACACTAAAATCAACCAGTACGACCTCGATGCCAGACTTCGTGATCCCACCAATCTTGCACAACGCTCAGCCACCTCGGCACATTACTTTGGGGGCCGTGTTGCTGGGTCGGGGCGGCGGCGATGAGGGATTGTAAAAAGGGCGAAGGGGTTAAGGGGCGAAAGAAGCAAGGTGAGAGGGGCAAGGGGGTAAGGGGGTGTTGATAAGGGGTAACCAAGGGGGTATGAGGTAAGGCGGGAGGGAAGTTTTCGTCGGTTCATCCGTTGAAGGAGGTGCCTCCTCCGCGGGCAAGCGTCTGAACGGTGGTTGTTGTCGTGGCCGATGTGCCCAAGGCGTCCAAAACGACGTCATGGAGAGAGGGATCGACCGGGCCGCAACAGCGCAACCGAGTCTCATGATGATGCACAAATTTACAGGTCACCCCGTTCCCGTCACAGGGTCCTGTTGTTTACCAATGGCGACGATGTAAAAACTATGGCACGCCGTTCTTCGGAATGCCCTCCCTCATCCCCAAAACCGATGAGGCAGAGGGACTTGAGGGATTGGCCGGTGGCTGGGCCGGGACTTTGTAGTTTAGCCGCAACGCCAGC